TTACTCTTCTGTCTTCCAGTGTCGTAAGGTGCATCTCTCGCAGCCTTTCCTCGTAACTCATGCCTCTTAGCTCCGGGACTAGTCTAGTGGCATACCTCTGAACTTTTTCCAGCTTCGTCTTGTGCTTGACAAGGTACGGGCTCCATGCTGGGGCCGCATACTCCAGGATTGGTCTTACATATGTGGTATACAAGATTCTGAATGATTCCTTACACAGGTTCCTGAATGCTGTTCTGATGTTAGCCAGTCTCGCATATGCCGCAGACGTAATTCTTTTTATGTGGGCTTCAGGAGACAGGTTTGGTGTGATATCAACCCCTAGATCTTTCTCTCTGTCCGTTTCATGAAGTACTTCATCTCCCATTCTGTATCCTGTGTCTGGCCTTCTGTTTCCGCCGCCTAGTTTCATTACTTTGCATTTACTTGGGTTGAACTTGAGCAGCCATTTGTTGGACCATTCATTCAATCTGTCCAGGTCATCTTGTAGCCTCCTACTATCCTCCTCTGTTTCAATCCTCCTCATAATTTTTGCGTCATCAGCAAACATTGAGAGAAACGAGTCTATACCCTCCGGGAGATCATTTACATATATCAGAAACAGTATAGGTCCAAGGACTGACCCCTGCGGGACTCCACTTGTGACGTCTCGCCAATCTGAGACCTCACCCCTCACAGTGACTCGTTGTCTTCTGTTGCTTAGGTACTCCCTTATCCAATGGAGTACCTTCCCTTTCACTCCAGCCTGTATCTCCAGCTTTTTCAGTAGCCTCTTGTGTGGTACTGTATCAAAGGCTTTCTGGAAATCCAAAAATATGCAGTCTGCCCATCCCTCTCTTTTTTGCCTGATTTTTGTTGCCTGGTCGTAGAATTCATTTAACCCTGTGAGGCAGAACTTGCCATCCTTGAACCCATGTTGATGCTGTGTTACAAAGTTCCTTTGCTCCAGATGTTCCACTAGCTTTCTTCGCACAATCTTCTCCATTAGCTTGCATGGTATGCAGGTTAGGGACACTGGCCTGTAATTCAGTGCCTCCTGTCTATCCCTTTTCTTATATATCGGGACTGCATTAGCCGCTTGCCAATCTTTTGGCAGTTCCCCTGTTGTCAGTGATTTATTATACACTATGGAGAATGGTGAGCACAGTGCTTCTGCTCCTTCCTTTAGTATCCAAGAGGAGATTCCATCTGGGCCTATAGCCTTTGTAACATCCAACTCTAGTAACAACTTCCTTACTTCCTCACTGGTAATCTCATACTCTTCCAGTGGTTCCTGGTTAACTATTCCCTCTCTTATCTCTGGAATTTCTCCTTGCTCTAAGGTGAAGACCTCCTGGAATTTCTTATTCAGTTCCTCACACACTTCCTTGTCGTTTGTAGTGAATCCTTCTGCCCCTATCCTTAATCTCATAACCTGTTCCTTTACTGTTGTTTTTCTCCTGATGTGGCTGTGCAGCAATTTAGGTTGAGTCTTTGCTTTGTTCGCGATGTCATTTTCGTATTGTCTTTCTGCCTCTCTTCTCATCCTGACATATTCATTCCTGGCACTCTGGTATCTTTCTCTGCTCTCCAGTGTCCTGTTATTCCTACAGTTTCTCCATGCCCTTTTACTTTGCTGCTTAGCTAGCCTACATCTCTGATTAAACCATGGGTTTCTCATCTTCATTTCATTGTCTTCCTTTTGGACTGGGACATGTTTGTTTGCTGCCTCCTTACATTTCTGGGTGACGTAGTCCATCATGTCTTGGGCCGTTTTTCCCCTAAACTCTGTTCCCCATGTTATATCTGTTAGGAATCTTCTTATCACCTCATAGTTACCCTTATGGAATGCCAGCCTTTTGTTTTCAGTTCCCCTCCTCGAGTTCAATAACCCTTCTTCAACCAGATACTCAAACACCAGTACACTGTGGTCGCTCATTCCTACTGGGGTCTCAAAACCGATTTCCCTTATGTCGGAGTCGTTCAGAGTGAAGACTGGGTCGAGTCTCGCTGCTTCATCGTTTCCTCTCATCCTAGTGGGCTCCCTGACATGTTGGCTTAGAAAGTTACTTGTCGCCACCTCCATTAGTTTGGCTCTCCATGTATCCTCTCCTCTGTGTGTGTGTGTGTGTGTGTGTGTGTGTGTGTGTGTGTGTGTGTGTGTGTGTGTGTGAGAAAAGTAGTTAGTAACAGTTGATTGACAGTTGAGAGGCGGGTCGAAACTCAACAGCAGAGCAGAGCTCAACCCCGTAAGTACAACTAAGTGAATACACACACGGTCGGCCAGAGTTAGAACACACTTTTGCAGCTGAATCCTTTCACAAAGAAATCACATCTTATTGAAATGTTGTCGTCCAACTTGCTCCTGATCTTGTTCACACAGTTCTTCGTCCTCATTGTTCCTGATCTTTCACTTCTCACTGGCTTCAGAGGAATATAATTACCAACGGGTCTCCTTCAGTTCCAAGTCTCCGTGGAGTGTAGTGGTAAGACACTCGCCTGGCGTTCCGCGAGCGCTATGTCATGGGTTCGTATCCTGGCCGGGGAGGATTTACTGGGCGCAATTCCTTAACTGTAGCCTCTGTTTAACGCAACAGTAAAATGTGTACTTGGATGAAAAAACGATTCTTCGCGGCAGGGGATCGTATTCCAGGGACCTGCCCGAAACGCTACGCGTACTAGTGGCTGTACAAGAATGTAACAACTCTTGTATATATCTCACAAAAAAAAAAAAAAAAAAAAAAAAAAAAAAAAAAAAAAAAAAAAGTGGAATATAATTAGTGGTTTCGTTAACGGAGATGAGGTTTTGCCATTCGTGGGTTTGCTATATAAAATATTTCTTTATATAGCAAACGATTTATGTATTCGATCTTAAATGTAAAGATTTCAGACAGTCTTTTAATGATAAAGTGATGTTGAAATGTTAGATTTCGATGTTAGATTTGTCTGGCACAATCCATAAATTGGTTCGATTTTCGCGCACTCGTGGATGTAAATAATTATCAAAAGAAAGCGCCAATAGACGCCTTCTGCGTGTATTTAGCACTGTCTGTGCTATATAGATACAGACTATTTAGCACAGTCTGTGACACGGAATAGTAGCAAATTCCTAAATACTTTGATATCTATGGCCCGGTCTCTGTCCACACACTACAGTTTCATGGGGTAGATAGAACTTCATCCAAGCTGAACGACCAAAGATACTGGCAAGATGTCTAACGACATCCTTTAGCCTAGTGAGCTTACTTTCTTAAGACACGTGTTTTACCTGACGTGTTTCATGGTTATGGCTAGTTAATAATTGCTAATGTGGTGCGCCCCATACCCAACCGGTGAGTAGTTTATTGTGCACCCCATACCCAACTTGTTGGTAGTAGTTTATTGTGCACCCCATACCCAACTTGTTGGTAGTAGTTTATTGTGCACCCCATACCCAACTTGTTGGTAGTAGTTTATTGTGCACCCCATACCCAACTTGTTGGTAGTAGTTTATTGTGCACCCCATACCCAACTTGTTGGTAGTAGTTTATTGTGCACCCCATACCCAACTTGTTAGTGGTAGTTTATTGTGCACCCCATACCCAACTTGTTGGTAGTAGTTTATTGTGCACCCCATACCCAACTTGTTGGTAGTAGTTTATTGTGCACCCCATACCCAACTTGTTGGTGGTAGTTTATTGTGCACCCCATACCCAACTTGTTGGTGGTAGTTTATTGTGCACCCCATACCCAACCTGTTGGTGGTAGTTTATTGTGCACCCCATACCCAACTTGGTGGTGGTAGTTTATTGTGCACCCCATACCCAACTTGTTAGTAGTAGTTTATTGTGCACCCCATACCCAACTTGTTGGTAGTAGTTTATTGTGCACCCCATACCCAACTTGGTGGTGGTAGTTTATTGTGCTCCCCATACCCAACTTGGTGGTGGTAGTTTATTGTGCACCCCATACCCAACCTGTTGGTGGTAGTTTATTGTGCACCCCATACCCAACTTGTTGGTAGTAGTTTATTGTGCACCCCATACCCAACTTGTTGGTAGTAGTTTATTGTGCACCCCATACCCAACTTGTTGGTGGTAGTTTATTGTGCACCCCATACCCAACTTGTTGGTGGTAGTTTATTGTGCACCCCATACCCAACCTGTTGGTGGTAGTTTATTGTGCACCCCATACCCAACTTGTTGGTAGTAGTTTATTGTGCACCCCATACCCAACTTGGTGGTGGTAGTTTATTGTGCTCCCCATACCCAACTTGGTGGTGGTAGTTTATTGTGCACCCCATACCCAACTTGTTAGTAGTAGTTTATTGTGCACCCCATACCCAACTTGTTAGTAGTAGTTTATTGTGCACCCCATACCCAACTTGTTAGTAGTAGTTTATTGTGCACCCCATACCCAACTTGTTGGTAGTAGTTTATTGTGCACCCCATACCCAACTTGTTAGTAGTAGTTTATTGTGCACCCCATACCCAACTTGTTAGTAGTAGTTTATTGTGCACCCCATACCCAACTTGTTAGTAGTAGTTTATTGTGCACCCCATACCCAACTTGTTAGTAGTAGTTTATTGTGCACCCCATACCCAACTTGTTAGTAGTAGTTTATTGTGCACCCCATACCCAACTTGTTAGTAGTAGTTTATTGTGCACGCCTGAAAGTCTTAATCAGACCCTAGCGGATGTTGCTTGGTACCGATTGTTATAATTTCAATTTAGACCTTATGTTATTGTTCTTGCTTTTCTCGACCCGTTCTTCGTGCCTTTCCTGCTTAATTGTTCTGTTTTTGATCATGTAATGTTCTTGGAGTTCATGCTGTTTGTCTGGGGTGAGAGTGTTTTCATTACTACTTCCCCTGTTAACGTTATTTAATTTTTAAGTAAAAAAGCCAAAATAATAATAATTATCCAAAATATAAAGTTCAGCACTCTAATTTCTTTTGATTAAACCTTATAACACAACTTAGATTTTTTATTGTATTTTCTAACCATTTATTAGCCACATGTGCTAACATTTAATTTTCTTTCAGGTGTGAGATGTCAGCTGAGTGTTGGCGGCGTAGACTCCTTCCTCGTTGACGACTTGGACGCAACTGCTGGTGCAGCCGAAATTAATATTAACGATCTTGTAAATACTACTGATGCTGAGGTGGCTCAAGATGCTGGCAATTATAGCTCGGTCACATCAGTTGGTGATCCTGCAGCAGCCACAAACAAGTCTCAAGAGGAAACTACCCTGCCCGACTTCGATGACGACCTAGCAGATGGGCTAGAAGTGACGACAGAGTTCGGTGGTCTTTCTAACGACGAATTCAACAAGAGAACAGGAGCTATGGATTACGAGTATTCCACTGGTCTCGAAAGGAAGATTGATGATAGAGAAACTGGAGGTGCAACTTCGGCCATACCCCAACTGACACGTCGCATTGTGTTCTCTGGAGGAGACACACTCACACCAACTGTGCCGGAGCCATCCGTGGCATTTACTCGTCCATCATCAGTGGTTCGAGTCCTCTCAGATGATGACAGAGACATGTGGTTGCCTAATTGGCCCTCACAGCTTTTAGACAATGACAGTAGACCAGCACGAAGACCAACAATAAGATTTCCAACTGATCCTCTGCCATCTGTCTTCCCCCTTGCTCCAGCCTCGTCTGTCATCACACCAGTTCCTTCTATTGTACCATCATTTACTGTGAGCAAGGTGCCAGTAACACAGTATTTCTTTGATCTGACTTCAGTTGCTCCAACACCTGTTCCAGGACCTCTGTTTGATCAAGATGACCTAAGTACCCCTGTGTCGGCAATGCCTTCTGGTCGACCTGATCTCAGCCGACCGGTCATTGACCTGTCATCAAGCATTTCAGATCTTCAGTCCAGTGCTCTCATCGAAGCTGCAAGACCATTTTCCGTCACTCCTTCACTGTTTGATTCACATTCATCAGTGATGACCAAGGCCGAAGTTAACTTCTCATCTCATACCTTAGCTGCTACTCCCGTCTTGGACCTGGTTCCTAATTTTCCTTCTACTTCTACTGTACTTAATGGGACGGCAGAGGGTGAAGTTGTTGTTAATAATGTAGATGGTAAATTGAATACTAACAACGTAACATTTGTAACTGAGGAAGTCCAAGACCTTGAACCGGAAACCACAGGACTAAAGCCTCCGATGGATCACCCAACTTCTCCTGGAGATGACATTGAATCCACAACAGCGGGTGAAGTTCCAGTTGATGAATCCTTTGCTGACCCCGATGTAGTGGTACCAGGTATAGATGAACTACAGCTTGTCTCTTCAGCCACAACCTCTGCTCCTGCTCCATTTAGTGAGCTAGTGAGAACTACGAGAACAAATGCCCTGGGTAGTGTAAAGCCTACTTTTATACGTACTTCGCAGGCTGCAAATTCCTCTAGAACCCCTTTGTGGATGCTTTTATCGCAATCATCGCCTTCTCGAACTGTAAATACACAGCTATTAAGCACGCAACCAAAAACTTCAGCTGCTATTACCCCAGCTACCAATACCATAACTGCTTTTACCACTTCCCCATCTCTCATTGATGAAAACATAAATGAGCCCATAGAATCCGAAGCCTCCCCAACTCCTGCCCTCGTGCCCTCCACGCTCAGTGTTGAGGAGCTGCCCGAGACTCTTGTGCCGTCTTTAACAGTTTCTCTAGATGATTTTAGTGCCGAATATGAAAGTGATCATCCAAGTCCTGTCCTTGCCACTCACTCGCCTTCAGATGCAATAGATATCACTCCCAGTGTTACAGCGTTAGTGTCTATCATTCCCACAGTAGGCAGTACAGAATCCACCACTTCAGATACTCCCAATGAGATATTAGAAATAACCCCAGATATTGATTTATCAAAGGATATTTTAAGTGATACTTTAAGCATAGACAAAGAGTTTTCTAAAAGTAAATCGCCAGACACTTCAGACACAATCCTCCAGTCATTATCTGTGGCCAGGACGACTGAAGTTAACAGTGTAACAGCTGTAACTGGCAGTGCCACTTGGACTCCTGTTTTGGACCCAGCCGAAGACACTGGCCAAAGTGTGTCGGTAACCTTACCCTCTACTATGATACCTATCACTTCAAATGTTTCTCCAGTATCCCCAGAAATGACAGGTGGTTTTACACCAATCAAAAGTAATACCATTCAACCTGGTATCTTAATTCATACTGAAGTATGGCCTGAGACTAATAGCATTCCTTCTCCAACTTCTCTCACTGCAGTAGATGAAAGCACTGCTACACTCTTTGCACTGTTTGATGCTTCCAACACAATGTCTGCACCCTCAACTTCTGTCCCTGATTTCTTTACTGCCACCACTGTGCAAGAAACTGGTCTCGAGTCAGACAGTGTCATGCCCAGTGAACATTTGTTTGTAGATGAGTATTTAATCTCTAGTGTTATTGTTAAGGATGAAGATGAATCTTCTCCTGTTACCTCCCCCACAACATTTTACACTTCACTGAAAGATGAAATTGAATTATCTCCTATTGCTTTCCCAACGACAATTCATACCTCATTGACGGACGAAATGGATTCTTCTCATATTGCTTCCCCAACGACAATTCACACCTCAGAGGTTGAATTAGAATCTTCTGTTACTTTCCCCACGACAATTCACACCTCATTGAAGGATGAAATAGAATCATCTCCTTTTGCTTTCCCCACGACAATTCGCACCTCACTGAAGGATGAAACTGATTCTTCTATTGATTTCCCCATGACAATTCTCACCTCATTAGAAAATGAAGTTACTTCGATACCCCTGGCACCAACATTCACAGAATCTATACCAACTTCTTCAACTGGTTCTACTGTATCTGATGGAGAATCAGTGGCGGAGGAGACCACCCATGAGCCAACTATTATAGTTACAGAAAAACTACCTTCTTCCCCTACTGTGTATATACCAGAAATATTGCCAAGCTCTTCTGGTAAGACTATTTTAGCTACCCCCTCAACAACAGACATTGCAAACATATCATCAGTCCCATCACTACCCACCATCATACTAGAGTCCTCAGAGTCTGCGGTTCCTCATGATGTCCCCATGTCCTCAGCATCTGTAGCCACTCTCCCTACTGCCTCTGCTGGCTCTAACTTGGACTCACGAATCTTGGTTGCCCCGACAGCCACAGGTGAAACCACCGAGAGCTCTACACACGTCATAGATCCAGAAGAACCTCCTGCTGCTGAGGGTGCTGAAGATGGTACACATGGAGAACTTCCTGAGAAAGGTAAGAATATGCTGGTGCAATTGTAGGGACCCATAGCCTAGGAGAAGAGAATAAGGGGTATTCAGAAAAGAACTGGGATTCTCCCTGAACACACGAGTATTTTCTTATCTTACCACCCTTATGTTTTCATTATTTTATACAATATGATTTATGTTATTGCATTGTGTTGACATTGTATTAAGAGTTTACAGAGAAGAAACACACACACACACACACACACAATCACTGTTCTAAGACCTCGTTCAACTCTTCGAAAGTGGGGTGCGTGCCCAAGATACAGCAAGCATTGTTTGACAATGAGGCACTGGAACAAGAAATTGGCCGCTCTCGAGTCTCTAGTTAGCTTAATGAATTCCTCACCCATGTCCTTTGAAGAACTTAAGTGCACATTTAGCCCAGGCACCCAGGATCTCAGAGCATATTGTCCTGCATCTGCAACAGTGTTCCAAGTTCCTGTACTTATTAGTTTTCTGGATCTCCCTGAAGGTGGGCTGCCCTGCTTCCATCAGCTGTACTGTGAGGTAGATGGGTATCAGCCAAAGTATAGTCCCACACAATCTGTTTACTATCCCTCCATGGCTGGAGAGGGACACCATCTGGGCGTTTGTGACTATTGTCAGGTCTACGTAACTGAAGTTCCCATTGTGCTACACACCCAGCTGTATCCAAATTTCTCGTGATGTCATTGACTGCTTCATGTGTGGCAATCTTTCCCTGTGACTTATGTCTGATAAGACCGTGACTGCTGTATTGGTCTGCCCATGCATAGCCACAGGTACACCGGTGTTCGATGGCGATGGGGGCGGAAAGGCACAGGGCAATACCAATACTTACGTCTCGATGATCCAGGCGGGTGCCTAAGGTGGAATTAGGGATAGCCAACAGGAAGTTCCTAGCTTGCTAGAGGATGGGGAGAGGAGGGGCTTGCACAGTGAGGAGGAATGCTTTGTCTTTCCCTGAAACTGCCTTCAGCATGGCTGTTAATGTTCTCCATTATGGGGTTGTCCCATTTGGCCTGTTTGCAGTCGTTTGGAAAAGTTGGTCGCGTTGGGCTATCGAAAGAGGGAGCACCTCTTAGGAAATAGGTAAGCCTGGGCAATGCCAGGCACCTTGTGAGGAAGTACAAAGCATTGTGTGCATCCAGAACACACATTCTTTCCTCCATTCTCCTCAGGTCATTCATATTTTCTTCAAATGTCAAATGTTTATTCAAGTAAAGTACATACATACAAGGTGTGATACAAATATTGATGAATTTATAGATAGAGCTAGTACATACAATGCCTAAAGCCACTATAACGCAAAGCGTTTCGGGCAGGAAAAACACTAAAGACTAAAACTTAATACTAATTGAGATTAGAGTATAAAATGTGTTGAGAAAATATAAAAATAAAAAAGGGGGGAAAATGGCAGAAAAACTGCAAAAAAAATACATTTGGTCAACAAACGGCATTGTTTAAAAATAGCAGACATGGGTTGATATTATAGGGGTAAGGTAGGTTACAGGGAGTTAATTAGGTAGTGTTTAGTTTTTATCTTAAACTGGTTGAGAGAGGTACAGTCTTTAACATGGTTGGGAAGGTCATTCCACATTCTGGGTCCCTTGATTTGTAGAGCATTTCTAGTTTGATTAAGTCATACTCTTGGAATATCAAAAAGGTTTTTATTTTTGGTGTGGTGCTCATGGGTTCTGTTACAACCTTCAATGAAGCTTTTAAGGTCAGGATTGACATTACAGTTCAGCGTTTTATATATATATATATATATATATATATATATATATATATATATATATATATATATATATATATATATATATATATATATATATATATATATATAAATATGTCGTACCTAGTAGCCAGAATACACTTCTCGGCCTACTCTGCAAGGCCCGATTTGCCTAATAAGCCAAGTTTTCATGAATTAATATATTTTCTCTAATTTTTGTCTTATGAAATGATAAAGCTACCCATTTCATTATGTATGATGTCAATTTTTTTTTACTGGAGTTAAAATTAACGTAGATATATGACCGAACCTAACCAACCCTACCTAACCTAACCTATCTTTATAGGTTAGGTTAGGTAGCCGAAAAAGTTAGGTTAGGTTAGGTTAAGTAGGTTAGGTAGCCGAAAAACAATTAATTCATGAAAACTTGGCTTATTAGGCAAATCTGGCCTTGCATAGTAGGCTGAAAAGTGCGTTCTGGCTACTAGGTACGACATATATAATATATATATATATATATATAATGTGTGTATGTGTATATGTATATGTATATATGTATATGTATATATATATATATATATATATATATATAATAATATATGTGTAACACACACACACACACACACACACACACACACACACACACAGAGGCGGTTGAGAGGCGGGACCAAAGAGCCAGAGCTCAACCCCCGCAAACACAACTAGGTGAGTACAACTAGGCGAGTACACACAACCTTAGAACACTTTCCCACCAGGAGATTCGAACCCTAGCCAGCACAGAAGCCTTACAGCAACTGGCATAACTGGTACGCCTTTAAAGGCGTACCAGTTACGCCAGTTGCTGTAAGGCATCTGTGCTGGCTAGGGTTCGAAACTCCTGGTGGGAAAGTGTTCTAAGGTTGTATAACTTCTCTTGCGTGTTTAGGCAAGTTGTGCATATATATATATATATATATATATATATATATATATATATATATATATATATATATATATATATATATATATATATATATATATATATATAAATACACATGAGAGGATGTGCAGTGACTTAATATCTAACATTCAGAGATTTGAGTAGGGAGTACCGAGTGATGTCTAGGGCCAGAGTTGAATATTGTCCTAACAGCAGGTTTATGTTGAGTAATTAGAGGATGTAAATGATTTTGGGTAGTAGAACCCCAAGCACAAATACCATAGTTGAGATAAGGATCGATGAGAGAGTATTAGTGTCACCAGGGCAGGGCGAGGTACATAATATCTGATCTTAGAAAGAATGCCAACAGTTTTTTAAACTTTTTTTGATATATTTAGAACGTATCCCTGAAAATTCAGCTTATGGTCAACGAGAACGCCAAAGAATTTGCCATCTACTTTATTACAAATTTGGGTATTGGTTATCCTGAGATTTATTTTATTTGAGGATTTATTGCCAAACAAAATATAGAAAGTTTTTTCAATGTTGAGGGTGAGTTTGTCAACCAAAGATGGACTTTATTTAGCTCAGTATTCACTGTGACATTTAAAGTAAGAAGGTCAGGACAGGAGTAAATTAAGGTTGTGTCGTCAGCAAACAGAATTGGTTTGAGGTGTTGGGAGGCATTTGGAAGGTCATTAATGTAGATGAGAAAGAGGAGAGGGCCAAGTATGCTGCCCTGAGCAGCATCTTCTAGATTAGCATCTTATAAATAAATAATAAATAAATGTTTATTCAGGTAAGGTACATACATACAAGAGATTTTACAAAAATTGATCGATTTATAGATAGAGCTAGTACATACAATGCCTAAAGCCACTGTTACGCAAAGCGTTTCGGGCAGGAAAAACATTAATGACTAAAACTTAATACTAATTGAGTATAAAGAATAAAATGTGTCGAGAACAAATAAAAATAAAGAAAAAAAGGGGGGAACATGGCTGAAAAAGCAGCACAAATACAATTAGGTTGATAAACAGCGTTGTTTAAAAAAAACAGACATGGGTTGACAATAGATGGTTAAGGTAGGTTACAGGGAATTTATTAGTGCTTCGTTTTTATCTTTTTATCTTATAATTCTTTTATCTTCTAATTCTTCTAGATTATATCAATGATATTCGAGTCCAAAGGTGCCTCTAGCAGCACACTGTTGGCAAGGGTGATCACTGGAGCTCCTGGTAAGATGGTTCTTACTGTATTTATGATTGGTTGGTTAGATGAGGTGATTTCACACTTCGACGGATTTAGGGCGAGTCCTAACTCCTCTCCCTTAGATTTCACCTGCTGAAGATCCCCTAGAAGGGATTTGTGTTCTTGCTAGGATGCCATCATCCAGGAACCAGAAGTTGAGATTGCTGGTCAACTTGCTTGTGACCTCTTCAGTCGCCATGCAAAAACAGGAAAGGAGCAAGAGGGTCTCGCAGGTAGACACCTTCTGCAGAAACTACTTCATGTTCCCCAAACAACAGTGTCGATTCCTTTTGTAACCTGCTGAAATGAAGGAAAGGTTGTTGGAACTGCTTCCAGTACCACATCTCTCTCTTTACCCGGTTGAAAGCATTTTTAAAGTCTAGTTTAATTAATGACTTGTATTCAGGGAGGTGCTGAAGGTGGTGGTTCCCCATAGGCTCGTGCTGCATGAGCTGCTGCTTTACTACCATTGGAACACCAAAACCTAATTGATGGAGTCGAGGTATCGTTGCAGCTTCCTTATGGATGTTCCTAATAGCTGCCCTGGCAATGAGGTGCCGCAGTGTGATGCCTATGGCAATGGGTCTAACTCCACAATCCTCCTCCTTTAGGGCACAAAGGAATCCTGTCGTAGGTGTTGAGTGAGGACGTCATCCATGCCCTAAGGGCTCGGTGGCAGACTTCCAGGGCTGAGGGCATATTTTGGGCCCTTGGGTGCCTTTCAGCCCTTCGTGGGTTTTGGTCCTCACTGTGGAGGGTTCCGTTTTGCAGCAAAGATCATTTTTCTTATTCCTAATCCATGTATGAATTAGACCACCCGGCTGCCCACCCTCGGGTTTGTTTCCAGGTCCCATTAAGTAATTTGGATTCATCGTTTTTCTAGAGATTTCCATTCTCCCATGCTGCACCTTTGGGTGGTTTATGCAAATTTATTTAATTACCTCCTGCATACCTTGGACCTCTTTTCTGTGATGGACTCGGCTTCTTTTGAGTTTGGGTCTCTGTTTATTGGCTGCAGTTTGATGTTTCATGCTCATCTGGACTGGCTTATACCACACCACACCAGAAATAAATACAGTTTTGATATTCCTAGAGTACG